AAACAATCTGACATTAACACATGTAAACAATTAAGACCTTTAAGACTACAGTAATTGTGCAAAAATCACATTATATACTCCTCATAACTGAAGCAAAAATCAAACTATGTAGAGTATTTATCAAATTTATAGAGTTAATAAAGATAGCTGATATAATAGTTTTAAATTGAGAATTTTTAGTTCTATTTCCATATTCCATATTCCATATTCTAAAAGCAGCCATGCTGAGAATAAGCCCCATGTGGTTGGTGCACAAAGAAATGCGCTACCTGCATAACGAGAAAAGCTGATGGGGGATGCCCCTATACCACGATGTCATATTTTTGATTTAGAGAAAGCACAATCATAGAATGGAAATTCAAATTCATAGGAGACTCTTTTACTATACTTGATTTTAGCCAAAAGGACAAGAAGTGATATAGGAGCCTCTTTTTTTTTTTTTGAGATGCAGTTTTCGCCCTTGTTACCCAGGCTGGAGTGCAATGGCGCAATCTTGGCTCACCGCAACCTCCGCCTCATGGGTTCAGGCAATTCTCCTGCCTCAGCCTCCTGAGTAGCTGGGATTACAGGCACGTGCCACCATGCCCAGCTGATTTTTTTGTATTTTTAGTAGAGACGGGGTTTCACCATGTTGACCAGGATGGTCTCCATCTCTTGACCACGTGATCCACCCACCTCGGCCTCCCAAAGTGCTGGGATTACAGGCTTGAGCCACCGCGCCAGGCCTATAGGAGCTTCTTTTAAACTCCTTAAGACAAAGAACCATATCTGATTATCACCATTATATACCTGAAATACAATAGGCACTCTGTCAATAAATGTTGGATGAATACATGAATGAGAACATTAACACAAAATTTAATGGGCTCAGGTTATTACATGACTAGGTTACGATTACTATGTCCTCGCTTTTATAAAGTAAAGCAGGAGCTGGGAAACTTTTTTGTAAAGGCTAGTGGTAAATATTTTAGGCTTTGTAGGCCATATGGTCACTGCTGCAACTACTCAACCCTGGTCTCTTTTGCAACTATTCAACTCTGCAGTTACAGCAAAATATGTAAACAAATGAGCATAATTTGCAAATAAAACTTTATTTACAAAAACAGAATTTGCCCATAAAAACACCCAAATCCCCTGAGGAGCACTTTCATACTATATAATGAAGACTCTACTCCCTAAAGGTTGGAAAGTGGTAGACTTGCTAAACTGAGGTGAACAGGTTTTGTTGGGTTGATATTTGGGCAGAGGATATACACTCGCTCTCCACCATGCCCATCACTCCTTATGAGCAACCCCATTCATTTGAGTCATGTTACCAGCCTGGCCAACCCATGTAAGCCTCTGAACTCTACAGTACAACTGGCTTCCAGGGATGTGGCCCATAGCCATACTGTGAATTGATAACTATACTACAGGCTCCTCAAGGGCAAGCCCACAATGTTCAACTCTTTGCCTCTTACCTAACGCTTAATATCAACATCTAATGAACTTTAAATATTCATCAGTTGCCTGTTGTTTGATATGTTCTGCACAGTCTCCTTGGAGTAGCTGTAGAGAGAGTAATAACAAAGAAGAGGACGTAGAAAGCATGTGACGGTAGGGAACAACGTGAGAAAGGACATGATGAGTCTCAGGAAGAGCAGCAGGAATCAGTACAGGACTGATGAAACCACACCCAATTCTCCCAAGTGTGTCTCAATCTTCTCGCTGCTGTCTGGATTCCTCCCTCATATCACAGCAGAAGCTAGGCACAAGCTGGTACTACCTTCCTATAACCATTATGAGGAGAAAACCCTATTTAATTTCCATTTCCTCTGGAGGGTGCCCCAGATGGGTAACCCCAAACAATTACCCAAATCTAGTAAAATAAATAAACTGTTATGTTCTCCCACAATGAAATGCTCCATAGCAATGAATATGAGCAATCAATAACTAAACTATATGCAAAAATATGCAGGAATCTATTATATTGTTGAATGAGAGATACCAGACACAAAAGAGTACAATCTGCATTATATATTACACACACATACACACATACACACAAACACACACACACACACAAAGAAAAGACACATGCAAAACTAATTTATGCTGCTAGAAGTCAAGAGAGTAGTCATCCATGTCATCCACAGAGCAGGGTACAGTTAGCCCATGAACAACACTGGTTTGAACTGCAAGGGGCGGCTTAAAGGCAGATTTTTTTCAATAAACACATTAGAAAAATTTTTGGAGATATGCAACAATTTGAAAAAACTCACAGATAAACCACATAGCCTAGAAATAGCAAAAAAAAAAAAAAAAAAGAGGAAATGCGAGGTATGTTGTGAATGCTTAAAATATATGTCATTATATGTCATTATTCACTAAGTCAGTAAGGCTTCCAGTCAACAGGAGGCTATCAGTAGGTACATTTTGAGGGAAACAAAATTATACTTGGATTTTCAACTGCACCCCTAACTCCCAAATTATTTAAGAGTCAACTGTAGTATCTAAAAGGAAACAGGAGACTGTGTTAGTCATGTTCTATTTCTTAATTTGGGTGCTGGTTACATGGATGTGTTCAATCTGTGAAATTATATCGAGCTATACACTTATATCTATTTTCTGCATGTATCTTCTACTTTCAGTAGAAAGTTTTTAATAATTACCCCTCATCTCAGTGGTCTAGGGTCAGAAAGGGCTCCATATGTCTTCCCTTCATTCATCCCTCAAAGCCCCCTTTACCTCATGTGGAGCCCCATTCGATCCTCATCTTTTCAAAGCATAACCATAAAGAAGCCAAAGAATAAAAAAGAAAACTCAATTATTCTGAGCTACCCATGATTCCAGACCCAACTACTTCTGAATGTCAGTATCTTTTGAAGAACCTTTACTGACATCACTGACCTTTTGTTCTAAATCAGAAATGAGAGTATAAGAAGCCACTGCTGCCCTAAATGGCTCACTTAAATAGACTTCCTTTAAAATATGCTCTAAACGGGCAACCTTATAGACGCAAATGTCTGTAAAGCAATGCTTAGATACACAGGGACCAGTTGAGGAAGATACAATAAATAAATAGTAACTGAGAATGGAGAGCAGAAAATAAACAGTAACCGAGAATGGAAAGCAGACCAGTCAACAGCCATCTTGCAAGAACCACAGATAACTGATTGTGTAATTGGCTATAATGTATAATGATCTACAACTGTAATCATAGCTGACATATCTCTAAGATTTTAAGTAAAGTTTCAATACAGGTGGTCAAATGATGAGGCTGGGAATCATTTTTAATCTCTCCAATGTGATTTTAATATATTAACCTCTATCTCACAGTACCACATATTCTTCCCACATTCTCCTACAAGTTTAGGTTTAAAAAATCAACTAAGACCTTTGATTACATTAGAGCACAGAGACTGGTCTACATTTATTTATTTATTTATTTATTTATTTATTTTTGAGACAGGGTCTCACTCTGTCACCCAGACTGGAGTGTGGAGGTGTGATCTCAGGTGGCCGCAACCTCCACCTCCCAGGCTCAAGCAATTCTCCTGCCTCAGCCTCCTGAGTAGCTGGGATTACAGGCATGTGCCACTACTGCTCAGGTAATTTTTGTATTTTTAGTAGAGATGGGGTTTCACCATGTTGGCCAGGCTGGTGTTGAACTCTGAACCTCAAATGATCCACCTGCCTCGGCCTCCCAAAGTGCTGGGCTTAAAAGCATGAGCATCATGCCCAGCCCTGGTCTACTTGTGAATCCCAATCAGAGAAAAGGTGAGGCTGGTGATCAGATACACTGACCTAACCGTGAAACATCAGCCACGGCAGGGACAGGTAGATTACAGGAAATGAAGAAAGCACAGTAATTTCTCTCAGGGCATATGTATAGTACAAGTTCCATTCCCTTATATTCAGATGTTACTCATATCAAATTCATATTACTTATCTGTTCATTAAATAAATCACTCTGTGTGTGTAGACATATATATGTGTGTGTATACGTGTGTGTGTGTATATATATGTGTGTGTGTGAGTGTATGGGTGTGTATGTATACACACACACACACACACACACACACAGAGAGAGAAAGAGAGAAAAACTGGGACTCACTCTGTCACCCAGCCTGGAGTATAGTGGCATAATCATAGTTCACTGCAGCCTCCAACTCCCAGGCTCAAGTGATCCTCCCACTTCAAGCTCCCAAGTAGCTAGGGCTACAGGCATGTGCCACCATGACTGGCTAATTTACTATTTTTTGTAGAGACACGGTCTTGCTATTAAAAATGGTTTCAGGTTTTTTAGAAGGGGGTTGTTTCTGAGACAGGGTCTTGTCTGTCACTTAGGTTGGAGTGCAGTGGCTCCATCACGGCTCACTGCAGCCTCGACTTCTTGGGCTTAAGCGATACTCCTACCTCAGCCTGCCAAATAACTGGGACCACAGGTGCACACCATGCCCAACTAATCTTTTTGCATTTTTTCTAGAGATGGGTCTCATCTTGGTCCCTAGGCTAATTTTGAACTCCTGGGCTCCAGAGATCCACTCGCCTCAGCCTCCCAAAGTGCTGGGATTATAGGTGTGAGCCACCATGCCTGACCTAAAAGTGTTTTTAATCTGACTTTATTTCTATCAACAATGAAGGGAGCATAACTTTAGTTACCTGTTATGCTTTAATACAGGTAATTTTAGTTATCTGTTACACTTTAGTACAAAACTATAAATTTAATTAAATGGTTCTGTGTCACAGTTCTAAAATGTCTTTCAGGGAGGATATTCTTATTTTTAAGAGCTGCATCCCAAGAATTTACAAAAAAAATGTCATGTCTGCAACTTACTGCCACATGTTTCATCTAAAAAATGTACAAACCTACACATATACCAAAAAATGTGGCAAAATGCTGTAACTGTTAAAGCTAAGTTGCAGATATGCAGGAACTCATTGTACATTCTCTTAACTCTCTTTAGTATGGTTGAAAATGTTTTACAATAAAAAGCTGCATAGAAATATTTACTAACCTTTCAAGTGATGACCGTCTTCTTTCTCCTGATCAAAGATGAATGACTAAATGCCCACAGGCCCATTCAGGGATCATACATGCCGTCTTCATGCTGCAAGAATAAGCAAAGCAACATGCATGTTATCACCAAGGATCTTTACTGTTAATATTATTTCAGTTGAGAACATGTTCTTAATATATAATAAACTTCTAAATTAAAATAATGCTACAATTTTTAAAAAGTGAGAAAAGAAAAACCCCATCACATACTGAATGTGAGAAACAACTATCAGCCGCACCCACTCTAGAAAATTTTGGAATAAAGGAATTCCTCTGAAAGTTTCTTTTTTGTTCTCCAATTTTATTGAAATATGATTAACAAATAAAAATTACACATATTTAAAGTGTACAATATGATGGTTTTATATATGTATACATTGTGAAATGACTGCTACAAACTAAAGAACATAACTATCATCTCACACAATTCTCTTTTCTTTGAGGGGTTTTCTGGTAAAAACCAGAAAACTTGCTGGACAAATTCTAAAAGAGCGGTACAGTGTAGTTACCATTTCTGTGTGTGCGGTAAGAACACATGAGGTCTACTTTCTTAGCAAATTCAGATATACATTATTATTCCCTATAGTCACCATGCTATACATTAGATCTTCATATTACAGCTGAAGGTTTGCCTCAGTTTCTGTTTAATCACAGCAATTTCAGGGCAGTGATATAGCCCAAACATCTGGAGCTTCAAGGACTTTAGCTTTACTCTGACCTTGGATTTCTAAGACCACACTTAGAAACTATCAATGTACTCACCTAGAACCACACAGGAATTGCTGAACCTCCTCAAATCCCTTCCAGCAAAGGTATTCAGATCCAATCTACAATACACTCAGCTACAATACACACAAACTTACAGCAAAATGGTATCATGGCCTGAAAGTCATATTCCTACTGCCACCACTATACCATCCATTTTGGTATTACCCATCACATTTGATCCTCCCCACAGCCCTATGAAGTAAGCAGGGTTTACAGATCCCATTTTCCAGAGAAGGTAGCTAAGTTTCACAGATATCTGACAAGGATATTCAACTAGAAAGCACCAGAGATGAAACTCCTATTTGTCTTCTGACCCCAAACTCTGGGCTTGTCTCACTATACAGGTCACCTCCACCCTCCTGCCCCCGAACGTGATGCTTTCCTTAAAACCAACCCCAAAGCCAAATGGCCAAACAACACATCACATGAGGGAGGCAGCTGAGTGCTACAGTGTGCCCCCTGAAAGCATATATTCACGATCTTTCTTAATAGTACCATTAATACTATAATCATTATTACCATTACTACAATTACTCTTAGTAATTATATTTCACTTGTAGATACAATAACCTTTAATGTATTTTCGTCATTTATATATGCATATGCACTTTTTTCCCCTTCTTTCTCAAAAGAGCACACTGTTGGCAAATGGGAGGAAAACAAGCATCACACTGCATCCCTGGTGATTTTTATCCTCGCTTAGCACCTTAAAATAATAATACACATTCAGTATTTATAAATTTTTTCATTTAAGTGGATGTCTGCACTATTACTAAAGAAAAATGGGCTCACCAATTTAGTTTGTCTCTAAAAACTGTATACTATATTCAAAAGTGCATAACTGTGATAGCCAGCCTCCAAGATGGCCTGTAGTGATACCTGCCTCCCAAGTATTCATGCAGCTATGGAGTCCCCTCCCACACTGAACAGGGCTGCATGTGGGAACCACTACAATATTGCTGAAATGCTGGTGTGAGACTGCAAAAGTCCAAAGACTGCAACTTCCATCTCTGTTTTGGGAGGGAAGATGGCAGTCCTGTTTTGGGAGGGAAGATGGCAGATGGAAGCTCTGCAGAGGTAACTGTGGGAAAGAACCGAGGCCTCTTGCCAACAACCAGCAAGGAACTGAGGCCTCCTGGCAGCAGCCTGTGAGTGAGCCATCTTGGAAGCAGATCATTCAGCCTCAGTCAAGCCTTCAGATAGATGGTGGCAGCTTCAGCTGACATCTTGACTGCAACCTCATGAGCAACTGCAAGTCAGAACCACCCAGCTTAGCTGCTCCCAAATTCCTGTCCTACTCATGGAAACTATGTGAGATGACAAATGTGTATTAGTATTTTAAGGTGCTAAGCCTTGAGGTTTCTTTTGCAGTGATAACTAACCTAACAACATGTATAGGCGTAGAGAATAAGAAAATAAATCACATGTACCTAACGCCAGTCGCTGTTTGGAATTTTTTTTTTTTTTTTTTGGAAGCCATGTGTGTATGTGTCTCTCCTAATTGCAGGTCTCCTAATCATCCTTCACCACCACTTCTACCACCAAGATTCACCACTAGCCTGAATTTTGAGTCAATCATTCCTTGGCTCCTCTTTATGGTTTTGCCACATACGTGCTATCGATATGTTGTTGTGGTTTGCTGATTCTAAGCCTAATATAAATGAAACAAATATTGTATGGGCTCTTCTAAAACTTGCCTCTTAAGATTTTGAGATTCATCCCTGTTGACTCATGTGGCTGTAATTCATTCGTTTTGTCAACACCATACAGCTCTCATTGTGTGAACATGCCCACAATTTACTGCTCTGTTCTGCTGTTGAGGACCCTGGGGATTTTTCAGTTTTCTGCTACTTTGAATAATGCTGCCATTTACATTCTACTGCTTGTTTCCTGGTACACGCAGGCAAGAATTTCTCCAGGGTATATACCTAGGAGAGGAGAGTTGGGCTATGGATTGCACATGTTCAATTCCTCTAAGTAATGACAAATTGTTTTCCAAAGTGGTTGTGTACAATTGACTCTTTAGCCGCCTTTCCAGTCTCTCTCCAAATAAGAGGCATGCTTGTTTTGCTAATTACGAGGAAAGCTTTCAACCAACAAAAGGGAAAGCTTTTCCTATTTGCAGCATCACTACTGCAAATAAATAGTACTCCAAAGCAGTGACCTAGACAGCTGGAACATATTAGTCACAGGACATCAGTACACACTTTAGAATAATGATGTAAACCCAGCCAACACCACACATTGCCCACGGGTATAAGTCAAATTTGATTTCTAGAAGTACAGTAAATTCAAAGGCTGTTTTCTTCCTGGTAGATTCACATACTATGGGCCCACCTGACTGCTATCATCTTGAAGGGAAAAAAGAGTAATTCACATGCAATCCAGCCAAATTCAAGATTAAAACAGGAAAATCAAGTAATTTCTGTGAAATAATGAAATGTGTATGTCAGTTTTTTAAACAGGCAGCTCGTTATGTTTTTAAATATTTTTACCTATAAAATTGTTACTTGCTACACCTGATTTTATTTATAGTAATTCTATAAAAAATTCTCAATTATTTTCTCTACAAAAAGCTGTCCTATACAGATTTAGTTAATCCAATTTATTAGATGAAAATAGTAATTTTTACAATTCAATCTGCATTTCTAGGAAAAATGTGATAGCAAATGTTTTTATCAGCATGAAATACAAATAATGAGAAATTCAATTTGAGTAGAAAGGAAAGTAGAAATGTTATCATAAATTTAAAAGAAACTCATATGTCATGGGAAGAAACAATGGCAGTAGTTGATAAATGTTAAGTTCGCTTCAATTCAACCTCCTGACAGTTCTCATCTCTTTAAAATCATTTTTCCCTACAAGGTAGAAACTGTTATTTATTCCCATCTTGTAGATGGAAGAAACTGAGGTACAGGAAGGAATTCCATTATACGCAGTCACACAGCTGGCAAGTGGTAGAAAAAGGATTTAAACCCAAGCAGTTTACTCCAGACCCCATATTCTTAATCACCGCTCTGGACAGCTTCTTCAGTCTCCCAAGACAAGTCGGGAGGCCCTACAATGGTGACGATAGTAGCTTCCAGTTAATAAGCATCTACAATATCGTAAGCACTTATTAAGTGCTCTACTGTGTTTCTTTTTTTAATTATTTTTTTATTTTTTTGAGACAGAGGCCCACTCTGTCAGCCAGGCTGAAATGCAGTAGGACAATCTTGGCTCACAGCAACCTCCACCTCCCAGGGTTCAAGCAATTCTCCTGTCTCAGCCTCCTGAGTTGCTGGACTACAGGTGCATGTCACCATACCCAGCTAATTTTTTTCTATTTTTAGCAGAGATAGGGTTTCATCACATTGGTCAGGCTGGTCTCAAACTCCTGACCTCAGGTAATCCATTCGCCTCGTCCTCCCAACATGCTGAGAAAACACGCCTACTGTAGGATTTCTAATTCTCTCCACATCTCTACCAGGTATGTATTATTCCCATTTTAAAACTGAAGAATCACAGGCTCTGAGAGTTTAAGTAACATGGCCAAAATCACATGGGCAGTAAAATAAAATGGTGGAAACACCACTTGAACCTCACTGTTGACTTCAAAGTTCATGCTCTTTCCACGGTGGGCCTTTTGGACAAAATAAAACTACCTAATTTCAGGGCTTGTGGTAGGCAAGTGTGACCTTGAGCTCCCAGGAACGGTGCCCATGAAGAGACAAATGACATAGTTGGGGAAGGTGTGCCAGTATTCCTGATAACAGTGGGCAGCAGCTGCCATGCCCCCATCACAATGAGACTGAGGCAGAGTACGTGCTGATAAGAGCAGATGACTCAGTCAGAAGATGACTGGGGTATACTGGGCAAGGCAAATGGCCTCTTGAGCACAATGTTTTCCTCTGCAAAAGGGGGTATCTTTTATTTCAAAGGGTTGCTGTGAGGATATGAGAGACTAACACCTGGCACCCAGCAGGCATCGGATATATGCTTGGCAATGGCAAGATTAAGGGAAAACAAGCCCCAGCTCCCTAGCAGGAAATAGCAGGGAGCTGATTTTAAACATATTCTCACTTCCATATATAAAGCCTCACATACATCATGATGGATGATTTAATAATTTTTAAAAGATCATACTCGTATCATAATTTTTTACTAATATTATAGTTTCCATATCTAGCTTACCATAAGCAGAATAACCAAGCTAACTAGATCAACCCTTTATGATTTTTTTTTTATATAAACATTGGAGCTGGAATGGACTCAAAGTAAAACATTTGGCACAGTTAACCTTTC